GGGGAAAATTCGCTTTGCCCCCATTTTTGCACAGGTGATCGGTGGTTCCAAAATGGCCACTGGGTAAACAAAATGGCCGCACGCTGTTTTGCCTTGCTTTAGAGGCACCAAAAATGGCCACTGCAATGGAGGATTTTCGTATAAGGTTAGTTTTGAAGCCCATAGGAACGCATTAAACACATTTCTATGGGCTTTTTAAAATCGCTAAGCGATGAAATCGCTTAGCAGCGATTTTTGCTGCACAGATTAACATCGCTAAGGGAGGCACCCCTGTAGTACACGATAAATTCAAATTATACTTTGAATATGTTACACAATCCATTCCAGACATACATGATATTAATCTAATCATTGACTACATGACTGTCTATTTTTTTTATATCATCCGTTACTCTTTCTATTTTGGAACTATACATATAGTTTTTCCCAACATTTCTGGTGGTTCTTTTTCCTTGTTTCATCTAGCCATTCTAATAATTTGTCCATTTCTGCAGGTTCAAAAGTTTTGGCTATCAGTTCCTGAAATCTGTGGTATTTCAGGCTCCTTCCAGTGTTCTGCAAAAACTAATCTTGCAGCTGTTATAATGCCTAAGTTTTTTTTTTGCAAGGTTCATTGAGTCCGGCAAAATAGTTAATAAAAAATAATTCAGGTTTCATACCGTGTTTCCCTGATAATAAGACCTATCCCGAAAATAAGCCCTCCCCTTACTGTGTAAGATTCCTCTAAAATAAGCCCTCCCCCGAAAATAAGCCCTATTGAGATTGATTTTCGCGCCCTTGCGAGGGGAGGGCGCGAAGCCGCAGGAGCCTCCATGGCTGCCGCTGGGGGCTGAGCAAAGGCGTCTCTGGGCGGCGGCAGCCGGAGGCCCCTACCGAGCCATGGGGACCAGGAGCCGAGAGGGGTGCGCTTGACCCACCACCACCGTGGGAGAAGCTGCTGCCCATCTACGTACCATAGCAGCCCCGCCGTCCCATTGCCGGGCAGCGAAAGGAGGACAGGCGGGCGAGGGCAGGCGGGGGGGCGGCGGGCGCGGGCTCGCCTGGGCGAGAGAAAGCG